TCTCCCATCCCTTCTTTCCATGCTGATCCTGTCTCTGAGCCTCCCCCCTCACTGTCGCAACCCCTCTCTCCCATCCCTTCTGTTGAACTTGACCCTGTCTTTGACCTCCCTCCCTCCCGGCTGCCAGCTTCATCTCCGAAACACCTTCCTCTTCCCCCTGATCTTTACCCCCCCTTTGGTCCTAATGTGCCGCCGCCTACAATTGTAGATCTCTCGGTTGGTCCTAGCCTGCCAAGCCCTTTTAGCCCTCTCCCTGGGGAGGGAGACGCAGTAGGTGATAATGATTTGAGCATGGAACAAAAAATGAAGGACATGTACGGAAAGTTGGGTTTCCACCATGACGGACCAAAAGGACCAGCCCACAAGTTTCTTACCGCTGACGCGCCAAGCAGGTTCAAGGTGAGACCCAAAGGACACATGGAACTTCTTAGTCTCGTCTCCTCTCCCTCTTTTCAGGACAATCCTCCCCGGGTCACCCCCCCTGTCGCTCTTATTTTTTGGCCTAGGAGGTCTTCTAGGCTGGCCTCCCCCCCCCCCCCCCCCTGCTAATCAGGGGACTGAGTCAAGAGCCCAAGAAGAAAGCTGTCAAAGACCTCGTTCTCAAACACTCTCCCATTGTTCTGGCACTTGTGGAAACCAAACAACCAGGGCCCACTTTGCAAGTCATATGCCAAATTTGGGGGAATAAACCTACCCAGTGGGTAGCTTTACCGGTGAATGGAGCTTCAGGTAGCATTTGGGTGGTTTGGAACCCACTGGAACACACCCTCATTTCCTCTCACTTAGGGGATTTCTCGATAACCGTTCTCCTCTCTAGTATCCCTGCCAGCTCCCTCTGGAAATTCACGACCGTTTATGGGCCTAACGTCTCTTCGCTCAGACCCAGTCTTTGGTCCGAATTGGACCACGTTGCAGCTCTGCCACACCCCCTGTGGTGTTTGGGAGGAGACTTCAACGTCACGCGATGGTCCTACGAGCGAAACTCCTCAACCTCCATCTCCCAGGACATGAGGGATTTCGCTGATTTCATCACCAGGAATGAACTCATCGATATCCCTCTTCAGGGCAGCCAATTCACCTGGTTCAACCACTCTCCCAATCCCACCCTCTCTAAACTTGATCGTTTCCTCTTTTCCACCAGTTGGGAGGATCTTCTCCCAGGATCCATTGCTCTTGCCTTTCCCAAATCAGTGTCTGACCATTGTCCCATCCTTCTGGATACAAACGTTGTGCAAAGAGGGCCTAAACCCTTCCGGTTTGAACTGGCTTGGTTATAAGAGACGTCCCTTGCTTCTTTAATACCTACCTGGTGGGCCTCTTTTTCACCTCAGGTTAGGGGTAGAGTAGGGTACAGACTTCAGACTAAAATTCAGCTCCTTAAAACTTCCCTCAAAACCTGGATCAAAACCCGCCCCGACAATTACACCAAAACCAAATCACTCCTCCTGGACTCTATCCAAAGCCTTGACCACCTCAAAGAAACCAGAGCCCTGGACACCTCGGAACTTAACCTCATAGCTCAAACCAAACTTGACTACCTGGCTAGCCTAAAAAAAGAAGAGATCTTCTGGTATCAGAGATCTCGAATTAAGTGGTTAAAAATCGGAGACTTCAACACTGCCTTCTTCCACCGCATAGCCAATTGTCGCATAAGGGACAACACCATCTCGACACTCAAAGTTGACAACTGCCTTCTGGACCAACCAGCACAAATTGAGCAAGCCATTTTAGAGGTCTTTCAAACCCTATACTCTACCCTACTTGGCTCTAGGCCTAGAATGGCTGACCTAGAATTTTTTGCCTCTCTCAGACGACTTAGCTGCCTCATTAGAGCAACCTTTCTCTGAGGCTGAGATCTTACGAGCTATTAAAGCCCTCGCTATTGATAAAGCCCTTGGCTCTGACGGATTCCCGATTGCACCCTTTAAAACTTTTTGGAGCACTTTCAGAATTGACTTCTTGAATTTCTTTGATGAATTCTACCACAGAGGAATCATCCATAAAGCTCTTAATGCCACTTTTATTGCCCGAATACCCAAAGTACAAGGGGCAGAGGAAATCAAGGACTTTCGCCCTATTAGCCTCCTGAACTCAACTTACAAAATTCTTGCAAAGGTCCTAGCCTCTAGACTCCAGCTTGTACTGCCCACTGTTATCTCTCCCTCCCAATCTGCCTTCATTCAAAATAGACAGATTCTAGATGGGGTCCTCGTAGCCAATGAGTGCCTTTACTCGAGACACTTAGCCAAGAAACCAGGATTAATTTTCAAAATTGACTGGGAGAAAGCCTACGACCACGTCGACTGGTCCATCTTGGATGAAACCATGGGGAGAATGGGTGCAGGATTCGATGGAGGAATTGGATGAGAGGTTGTTACTCTCACCCCCATTTGTCCATCCTCATCAATGGGTCACTGAAAGGATACTTCCCTGCTCACAGGGGACTCCGCCATGGGGACCCCCTCTCCCCATTCCTCCTTGCCATTCTCGCAGAAGTATTCTCTAGATCCCTCTCCTGCCTTTACCTGTCTGGCCTCCTCTTAGGCTTCTCTACCACTTCTCAGGGCCCCACGGTGTCACACTTGCAATACGCAGATGACACCCTCATCTTCCTTGATGCCTCCCGAGAAGAAACCGACACGCTCAAACTCTTCCTTCTGTGCTTTCAGAAAGCTATAGGGTTCAAGGTTAACATGATGAAATCTCAAATGATGGGAGTAGCCTTGTCAAAAGCAGAAGTTGCTGCGCTCATCCTTGACTGGGAATGTAAAGTGGAAGACCTCCCTTCCAATTACCTGGGCCTACCTCTAGGCTTGGGCAACCTAAAAAGAGACTCTGGTCTCAAGTTTTAGACAAGGTAGAGAGACGCCTGGCAACTTGGAAAGGTAGATACCTCTCCCTTGCTGGAAGAGTTACTCTCATCAAAGTGACTTTGGCAAACATCCCAGTTACTTCATGTCCTTGTTTCAGATGCCAATACAGGTGTCTAACCGCATAGAACAACTTATGCGAAATTTTCTCTGGTCGGGACAGGCAGAGAAGATCAAGTTCCACCTCGTTGCCTAGGACATTGTTTGCCTACCTAGAAAGCAAGGGGGTCTAGGCATTTGGACCCTCAGAAAACAATACACTGCCCTTCTAGGCAAATGGTGGTGGCGCTTAGCCACTCAACTAGATGCTCTCTAGTCTCAGGTGCTACGCTGCAAATACCATATACTAGAAAGAACATGGGTGCCATAGAGGATACAGAAACACAGAGCATCAGGGGTGTGGCTGTCTTTAGCCTCTTCATTGCCTCAGTGCAGAAGGCATCTTAGATTCCATGCCCGAGAAGTCAGCATGGTCAAGTTTTGGATGATTTCTGGCTTGGTAGCTCCCCTCTGTGCAAAGCCTTCCCTGCCCTTTTCTCTCTCTCCTCTAAAATTAACTATACCGTCGCCGATGAAATGCCTCTCTCTGGTGGACGGAGAACCTGGACTCCCTCCTTCTGTAGAAATCTCTCAGATGAAGAAAGCATGCTGTTCCAACAACTTTTGGGTGCCCTTTCCTCTCACTTCCTCCCACTTTTCGGGAGTGATTCTATAGTCTGAAGCCTCTCCCCCTCTGGCCTTTCCAATGTTACCTCTTTCTACAAGAGACTTACCCAACGGCCAACCTTTCCCCTTAACCCCTCTTCTTTCTTGTCAAAAGTGTGGTCCACCATTGCCCCACCAAAAATTCAGTTCTTCAATTGGATCTCAGAGAGCCCTCACTATCAACCAACTTCAAAAACGAGGTCTCTCTACACCCAATAGATGTGCTCTCGGTTTTTGTGAGGAGGAATCCAACCCTCACCTTCTCATTCATTGTGAATTTTCCCACAATCTTTGGTCCCTTTTGCTTCAACTTTTTAGTATCCATTGGGTCTTGCCACCCATGGTCAGAGCCTTGATCTCCTACAATTTTGAACCCAGTGGCCCCTGGCTGGAAAAACCTTATGGAAGGACGCGGTGGCTGCAACCATTTGGACTTTTTGGCTTGAAAGGCACAACAGAATTTCAACGGTGCCCACCTTACACCACCAGCTCTCTTCCACAAGGTAGTCTCGCTGACTACCTTTTGGGCTTCTAACCACAAGACTTTCTCTGGCCTTTCTAGGAACACCCTTCTCTCTCAATGGAAAAATGCTCTCATCCACATGCCCTCAAAACCCTCAAGAGCGTGCAACTGGCCGCATCAAGTTAAACTTTGGTGGTTGCTCTCTTGGAAATCCAGGCCCTTCAGGCGCTGGGTGGGGGGGGGGAGTTCAGGGATTGCCAACGGAATGTCCTCTTCACCTTCTCTGTGCACCTTGGGACCTTGGACTCCCAATACGCTGAAGCTTCGGCCCTTCTTTTGGGCTTGAGATTTCGCAACCCTTCCTAGGGCACTCACCTGATTGTGGAAGGAGACTGTTTGAACACCATCTCTTGGGCAAGAGGCTTGTCCCCCTGGCCTTGGCAATTGTCTTCCATTTTTGATGAAATTACCCACGTTTGTAGGGGTACGAGCGTCTTATGGCAGCATACATGGAGGATGTCCAACGATCTCGTGGACCTACTGGCGAAGGAGGGAGCTCGCTTACATTTGGATATCTAGGCCAGGTCCAACTCCTTTTTTGTTCAGGACCACAACCGTTCTAGATAGCTCGCCTTCATACGCGCCAAGACACTGCTCAGTTTTTTACTTCACTTTTTCTCACTGTAAATCTTGTCTTTAGGGCGAATCTTATAAGCCCAACTGCATGTAAACGACTGGTGTATTTTTTACTGATTGCCACCCAGTGAGGGTGCTTTCTGTCCAACACTTTTTGTTATCTTTGACCTTCTTTAGTAATACAATGTTAACAACTAAAAAAAAAAAAGATCTTTTGGAGCTTTGATTTGGTTACATTTTCTTGAATTTGTGTGGTACTCTTCCCCCAAATACACATTTTTGGTGCATCTAACTTGCTTTCTTTTCTCCCAAAATATTTTTTGTAGGTATGAAGCTTGGGTCATATATAATTTTCTTTCTTTGTGCCTTGCATGGGTTGGAGGTCCCGGTGCCGTTGTGTTGAGCTTAAGTGGTCGGGTTTTGAAACCGTCATGGTATCTGATGACTTGCTGCTTTCCTGCTATGCCACTTGATGGGTGTGTTCCGTTTCCTTGAATTTGTTTACTTAGCTGTTTATGGTTGGTTATGAAATTTTTTGATTGCTTATGTCATCTATATTTGTTTATATGGTAAATGCTCAGAATTTCAGAGCAGGTTTAAATTTTATTATGACTTAACTCTTTTCTCTTGATGGGTGTACAGGCGCTTTATACGAAGGTGCAAGCAAGGGGGTTTGCAGTTTGTGATTTTGAAACCCATCCTGGTCGCAGTTACATTCATATTGTATGCTAAAGGAAAATACGAGGATGGAAACTTCAGTGCAAAACAAGCTTATCTCTATGTGACAATCATCTACACCATCTCATATTCAATGGCTTTGTATGCCTTGGTCTTGTTCTATGTAGCATGCAGAGACCTGCTTCGCCCATTCAATCCTGTTCCAAAGTTCATAATGATCAAATCTGTAGTCTTCCTTACATATTGGCAGGTTAGGCATTCTGGCATTGCATTTCTTTAGGGGTAGTATATGTTCCTTGCAATGGTGCTCTCTCTCTCTCTCTCTCACACACACACACACACATGCATGCGCACGTGCTTTTGCGCACACATGCCTACGCTCATGCACAGCATATGAACATAGCTTATATAATTGAACCATTTGGTAATTATAATAACGAGGAAATACACACACACACACTCACTTTCCCATATGAACATAGATCATATGATTAAACCATTTGGTAATCATAATAATGAGGAAAAGTAATAAAAATGTTCTTTATTGGTGTCATACTTCTAGTCTGCTTGGTCTGGCAACCCACATTGCATGTTTTGACCCCCATGTACCAAAGAGAAAGGATAGCTTGAAGCTCAAGCCTCAATGTCTTTTTCTAATTTTATCTCTCTTATGTATATGGCCAGTTTGTTACTTTTTATTTAGTCGTTCAGATTCTTTGACTATTTTCTTCAGAGCTGTGTATCAGCATGCATTCGACTCATTTTGAGAAAATTATTCCAAGATTTTTTATTTTTTTTATGGGTGTGGATTGTATAAGGCTGAGACTCTAAACAATCAAAGTAAGGTGCACCTTCAAATAGTGCCAGAATATGTTGTTTCAGTGTTAGAAATCTTTATGATGGCCTAAAAATTTATTTTCATCTTGAATTATAAAATTTGAAGATTAAAAAATAGTGTAGATTGAGTAGAGCTATGAACACTTGAAATTATTGAAAATTGATGCACTATTTTCAATACTTGAAATCTATTTTTTCTCATATCGATACATCTAGAGGTCAAGATGATCGAATTGAGGGTTTTTTAGTATCGAAAGATACCTCTTCTAATGAAGTTTTGAGGTGCACCTTAATTTATATACATTTTTTGCTTTGTTTATATTGTTTTGATTTTTTATTTTGGTAGGCTTGGGTTCCATACCCAAAACCTGGATAGTGACTTAAGCTTTTTTAGTGAGATAGCTTTTGCTTTTACTGTTTAGGGTGTTCTGGTGTTTCTTGCTGCAAAGTCTAGGATCATAAAGAATGCAGAAGAGGCTGCTGATTTCCAAAACTTCATCATCTGTGTTGAGATGCTTTTTGCTGCAGTTGGTCATTTCTATGCATTCCCATACAAAGAATATGCCGGTGCAAATATTGGTGCATCTGGTGGCCTAACTGGAAGCCTTGCCCATGCACTCAAGTTCAATGACTTCTACCATGATACAGTACACCAGGTCAGTCTTATTTATATCATGCATGATCAAAATATTGGTGACTCAGGCTTGGCCTCGCCCAAGTCATTCGGACTGAGTCCTGATAAATAACCCCAGGACTCAGGCGAGTCTTACCAAGATTTTTTACTTTTTTATTTTTTATTTATTTTTTGGAGGCTTGGCCTAGTCGGATTACTTACTCAGGCTCAGAACCCTGGAGAGTCAGACCTTGAGCCCAAAATTTTAAGACTGATACCATGAACATCAAATCTTCTTCCCATGATCTCAATCAAAGGGACAATATACTAGAACCGAATGACTATGGAAATCCATTGTTCATTTGGGTCATCACTATCCAATGTAATTATGAACAATGATGGAGAGAATGAAATTATGAGATAATGACGGAGCGGGAGACTGTGACCAAGTAGAACTGGCAGTGTCTCCTTATTATCGATTTGTCAATGTCCATTATATTGGATGGTGAGACCCTAACAGACTATGGTTTTCCATAATCTATTGCATTGACATTCAAAAAATTAGATACCATGTTTCTTTCAATAATCAAAAGCCTTCAGTTATGTTCCCAGTCCTTTTGATACTTAAAACCTTCCAATCTTCCAGTTTGCTCCCACATATCATGATTACGTGCTTTACAATAATGAGAGTGAAGATGGAACAAGAAAATACAGATCCCGAACATTTGTTCCTACTGGTCAAGAAATGGATACTGTGAGAAGGCACAAGCACATGTTTGGGAACAAGATTGAAGATATACAGTTATCCAGCGTGTCGTCCTCTGAAGCTAGCAGTCCTTCCAATGTAGACAGTGTACAAAAGGCTAAAGGAGATCCGGAAGCCATGAAAAATTCTCTCCTTCTTGACCCATCCAATCCCCTTTCGCAACCTTATGATCTCTCCTTGATTGATATGGACTTGTCTGGTTACCCAACGAAAGTTCCTCCAGCTGGTCATTGAGGGTCCCGATAACATGAATTGATGGTGTTTTTGTGGTTGGGGAATGAGGACTAACATCTGTCTAACCGCTTTGTGTGTCTCAGTTTGCTGAAATGAGCTTCAAAGCTCTTACCGTTAGGAGCAATTGCGGAGGTTTTGTATTGTGTATATGTGCTCAAGAAACTGGGTATGTCAAAGCCCTGTTGGGTTTGCTTTAGGTCGGTGTGTCTTCTTTCCTGTGTGTTGTTTGTAGATTGGATTAATCAATTGGAAAGGGGTCACGGTTGATGGATATTGATGCTTAGCAGTGTGCAGTATTTCCTTGGAGATTCTTTGGTGCTACTTCATACTTGTCAAAAAAAGAAAGAAAAAAATTACTTGACAAGAAAAGCAATACAAAATTACTTGACAAGAAAAGCAATTACTTGACAAGAACAAGCAATTACTTGACTAGAAAGAAAATTACTTGACAAGAAAAGCATCTACTTGACAAGAAAGAAAAGCTTCTTTTTATGTTCAAGTAAAAGAAAAAGCAGGGCATTGGTGTGAGGTAATATTTTACTCCTTTTCTTTGTTTTGGTAGACAGGCTTTGGATATATTGAAGTGCTTGACTTTCCATTTACAAAGGGTGGCATCCTTGGATGTTGTAGTATATTATGTAGTTAGGAATTGCTTTTCTTTCTATTAAGGCTCTGTTTGAGTTACTGCCATATTGCGGATGAATCTTCATTTTGGCCTATGCTCCACATGATAAAGGCCATATTCAGAATGCCTAAATCTGGGTGGCTTGGCATCATATTAGAGCTCTTTATATTGACGAATCGTTTTTTCGACATTCTCTATTCTCCTCAAATGAACATGGCTAATTGCCATTCCTTGAACTAAGCAAATTGCTTATTATGCTCTAATTAAACTAAGCGCATTTTTGACGACGGAAAAAAATGAAAAAGAAGCTAAGCGCATTGTTATGCTCTACGAGAAACCGGATAAAATAATTACTTATTCTCATAAAACTTACCATGTTTCTCCACCCATATATGTTATTTCTACATCCCTCATTTCAAGCCATCCGATCTTGGACGGTTGAGATGGCTGCAACTTCAATGTTGTGCTTATACACTATTTTATTTTTAATGTTTTTTACAAAATATTTTGACACTAAATTTGGGGCATCTACCCCTATCTTAAACTGGTACCAATAAAAAAATATAAAAAATATTTTTGAGAAATAAAATAACCAAAATACTCGAAACATTTAGGGGCAAGTATTTTGGTTATTATATTTATCAAAAATATTTTTAATATATTTTTTTATGCGTGCCTGATTGAGATGATCGATTGAGATGATGATAAGTGTCAAAGTTTATATTCATATAATTGTAGAAAAAATTTAAAATAAAAGAGCTTGGGATACATAGAGAGATCAAAAGGTTAGTGGCTCACTTGTGACACTATGACGGAAGTCATTCCAACCATTCAATATCAGATCTTGAATCGGACGGAGATCAGATGGCTGGGGCGACGACTGATGCAGAAAAAATATATATGGGTGGGAAGTATAGTTTAAGTTTTCCCCGTAGAAAAAATGGCATGATCGAGAGGGAGAGATTGTCGTGATTATCGATCATTGGAAACCGAAAAGACACATTGATTGTCGTGATCGAGAGAGAGCTCACATTTTACATAAAAGTCCCATGATACATCAACCTTCCTTTTTCAGTATAGGACGAACCCAAATTGGTATGAAAAATTACATGCCACAGCTGCCATCTAATTGGGAAAGTTTAAAGAAAGAAATAAGAAAAAATCTGTCATCCTTTTGGAACCATCCTTGATTGATGTCTACCCACTTCTAAGCACCACAAGCAATGGCAACTTCATTAACCATCACTTGTGGAGGCTCCAAACCTTTGCATCTCATCTCATACAACAGCTTGATAGCCTCATCACAACACCCATTCTTTGCATACCCACAAAGCATGGCATTCCAACTCACTGCATTCTTCTCTCTCATGCCATCAAACACAAGCCTTGCATCCTCAACAAATCCACACTTACCATACATGCCAACAATACTACTCCCGACATAAACATCCTTCTCAACCCCAACTTTGATCACACGTGCTTGCACCTGTTTTCCCATCCACACGTGCCCCATCTTCCCACTAGCCCCTAAAAGGCAAGAGTAAGTGTAACAATTCCCTCTCTTCCCCACCCTTTCCATCTCTCTGAAAACCTCCAAAACCCCATGAAACTCTCCCTCCCTAGCACACCCCACAATCATGGCCGTCCAAGCCACAACATTGGGCTTGCATATCTCATCAAAGGCCTTTCTCGCACTCACCAAACACTTCATCTCAACGTAGAAATCAACAAGACAACAACCCAAATAGGTATCTTTGCTCGAACCCGACTTAATGGCCTTCGCATGGATTTGTTTACCAAGTCCTACATCTTCTATGAATGCGCAGGCTCTGAGAACGCCGCCTTGAATTGCAGTATTGGGTTTCATTCTCACCATTTCTTGATGCATTCTTATGTACAAATCTAGGGTTTCTTCATTCATGCCGAGATCCATGAGACCAGTTATCATGAACTGCCAAGTATCAGTGTTTCTATGGGACATTTTATCAAATACTTGGTAGGCCAATGTGGGGCAACGACATGCCATATACATCAGGATAATCTGATTTTCAATGTGAATTCCAGGGTAGAGAGAGGTCTTGTTAATGTGGGCATGTATCTCTGATCCTTCTACCAAGGATTTGGAGCTTGTGCACTCTTTGAGTAAGGATGAGTATGCGATTGGGGTTAGAGGGATTTGTAAGGAATACATTAGCTGTAGTAAGTGAGAGGTTTCTGAGTGGTTTTGAGGAGGGGGTTTTTCTGTTAGGATTAGTTTAAGGGAGAGAAATGGTGGGGTTGAAGGCATGGGATCAGGTGGATTCAATTTTTGGGTTTTAGGCAATATAGGTTTTGGAATGGGAGGCTGGAGAGATGGGAGTTTGTGAGTTTTCAACATCTTGGGGTTGGGAAAGGTGTTGTGGGGTGGTGAAATTTCCATTCTGAATGCTTCTCCTGCCTTAGCGCCTTCTAAGTTTTGGTTCCAAATAAGACGCACATCTAAATTTTGCCTCTTGCATTTTCTCTTCTTGTATGCTCTGGTGGTTTGAAACCTTATTTTTTTTGTTATTAAATTTAAAATTTAGAAAGTAATAGGAAATGAGTAAATCTATAAATATTTAAATTTTTTTATTTAAGATGGTTTGGATGATATGATATTTTGTCTTAAGGATTTGAAAATGGTTATCTTTTTCATATTTAAAAATCTCAGCATCAAGATGATTGATTAGATAATTTTCCAATATCCGAACACCCTAATCTAATATGAAGGGTTTATCAAGAATACCAATTTATGAAAGGAAAAATATATAAAACGATCATTTACTTTTAGTACAAGGAGGCCATAATTATTGTTGTCCATCAATTTCAAATCGGATGGTTGTGAGTGAATCTTTGACTAGTCTTAAAATCTAAAGGAAAATTTCTTGAGGTTCATGACATACCTCAAGCCATCCAATTAGACATCTAATGGTTATGAGTAATTGTGATATTCTTGTATTAAAGATTAATTGTTTTATAATATACAAGAGATTGTATATTGTGAGACCATTTATTTTTGGTATAAGAAGGTTACAATCATCTTTGTCTATTAGATGTGAAATCCAATAAATTGCAATTGTGTTACAATATTTATTTTAGACTTTGTGCGCAATTAATGACACATCTTTAACCAACTGATTTTACATTCAGTAGTCACTAATGATTGTGATCGGCATGTATCAAAAGTAAATTGTTTCATTGTATACAATTTCTAATATACAATCCCTTATTGAAATGAGAGTTGATTTCATGTCACATATCATTATAGTATAATAAAACCACACGCTTAGAAAGACCTCAAAAACTGTACACACTCTCTCTTCATCTCAATAATTAATTTTTAAAAAACAAATTTCAATTTGCACCCTAGATTTGGTTAAAATGAATCCTCCTTCAACAATGTATCAAGACAATCCATTTGGTAAATTTCAAGATCTAGGCTTTTACGAACTCAAAAGCATTTCTTTTTTTTCAACATTATTCATCTAATGATAATAAATCTATCTAAAAATTTTAGAAGGAAAAAGTCCTTCCAAGACTTAGTTCTAAGCATCTAACTAAAATGAACGCCATATGGTGATTTGGCTAAAAAACTACTTTTTAGGGTGTGCTTTCAAAATTTGTTTTTTTTGTTTTTGCAATTGTTCATTAGAATGAGAAAATGTATATCTTAAAAGGGTGTGGTTTGCATAAAGTTGCAACCTTAAACAATCCTATTAAGGCCCATCTCCAAAATTTATCATAAATGTAATTTTGGTGTCAACAATTCTTAGGATGACTTGAGAATCAATTTTCATCTCTAATTATAAAATTTTAAACTCTAAAAATGTCTCAAACCAAGTAGGTCTATAAATACATGACAATATTGAAAATGGACGGTCTAGATAATGTGTTGCAAGATGCACAATTTTGAGATCCATAGTCATATATCTTGATATCAAGATGATTATAAAATAACCTTGTATAATATATTTTTTAGGTGCACCTTAATTCTACATTTTAAGCTTGCAACCTCGTATAAGCTTTTTCCATTTAAAAATTAAGGCAAAAAAAAGAGTGTTAACATGATTTTCAAATATTATTTCATGAAACTATTGCATGAAATAATTCCACCATTGACATAGGGTTACATCCATCTATACCATCCATTTATGAAGACCATACAAGTTATATGTACCCTCACCTCTCTCTCCCCCAATTAATATCTCAAAGTCCAAATCCTTGGACCCTCACAAACTTTTTCCTACAAAGACCTTCCCCGTAAACTTCCGTCTACACTGTCATAATTTGCGAGGCATGTGCCTTCAACAACCAACGTCCATGATGCAGTATTCTTACAAGCATGAGGGCAAAATTGTTATTGTCTTTCATACTAAGGTCATTTTAAATAAATTGATGGCCCAATCCCTGGCCAGAAGGACTTTTTTTAGCGTTCGAAAGTTGAAACTTCAAAGTGAAGAAGATGCAATTCCAGCAGAGGCAGGTTAAAAAAAAAAAAACCAGAATTCCATTTATGCCCTAACCATCAAATTCAGTACAATTTGCCCTTGCTTGGTTTTGTGTTAGAGAAAATGGGAGAAATTATGCCTTAGGTTTGAAGAATTCAAGCTAGAAAGGAGTTTTTCATGGCAAAAACTGACAGTTTGAACTCTATTTCGCTGGTTTTGGCTCGTTATGCAACCGCAAAAAATGGCTTCAATGATGCAGAAGTTGATCCAAACCGTTGCTCACTTGAGAAATTCAAGCTTTATGAGACCAGAGCTGTAAGTTCATATTGACCACCCCCTTATTTCATTTTCGTAGAACTGTATTTGGCATTTAATTTTGGTTTTTGATCGATTGGGAACGGATGATCTATTGATGGGATTAATTGAAAACTGATAGAAATATGGTTCACACTTGAATTATTTCTTTATGGGAAATTTATTAAAGAGTACTTCTAGTCAAAAAATATATAAAAATAAAAAATAAAAAGCATCCAAGAGACACCCATTTCTTTTGATTTAGTTTCGAATATCCCATCAAAGTACGCAATCATGATTTCGAGTAGTTGATATATTAGCTGTCTTTTGATAAATGGGTGAAATGTTAAATAATTGATATTTCACGTGTGGTTCGACGAATTCCTTCCCCCCACCCCATCCCCCCGTCCCCTTTTTTTTTTTTGGATTTGGCCGTGGAACAGGCTGGGATAATGTTGTCTTTTGAAACTAAATGCATGTTTCTGAGAATTTGCTGTTGATATTCCAATTCTAGCAAGTTAATTTAGTTTTTAGCTTTTCTTTTTTCTTCTTTACATTTATATTTGATGGATTGCTTTATGTGTTCAATTCAAAGTGATGACCCTTTTTTTCGCTTTCTATGAGTTATTGTTTGTTCCTGAAAATTCGGTGAGCTTCGGATTTTAGTTGTCCTGATTAAATATTCTATAGTGACCACTTACAAATGATTGGAACACGTGCATGTTGGGAGGGTGGGTGATCAAAGAATTTCAGGACTTTCCATTTAGGCTCAATTTTTTTACGATAAGTAGCTTGGCTAGTTCCCTCAGCAATAGTTGAACATCTCGAGTAGTTCTTGTTGCTTCTGTACAGTGGAGTTCTCAATACATATGGGCTCACCACTTCAAGGTATCACTAACTGCAATCTTTATTCAACCGCCAAACTCTGCCAAATCAGAATTGTTTATGTCACCCTTAAAATTGTGCTTTTTTTCTTCCCAAGCTGGAAGGAAACTAGAGTTTTTCTGTTTTGACAGCAGCCTCGAAAATAGTGTATTACTTGTCCTTTAATAGACAAGAAAGGGTTTTCTTGTTAAGTACATTTATTGGATTCATTTCTGGATAATATTGATTGAAGCTCATGTCGTCATCTTCAATGTTTTTCACTTTCTGTTACCCGCTGCTTTTAATTGGGTTTTTAAGGAACAAATGATTTGTTGGTCTTTTGTGTAAGATGAATGACTTGATTCGTGTACTTATTGATTCTTTGAGTTTGTTTCATTTGAGCAGAGGTTCTATCTTATAGGGAGTGATCGCTTTAAGAGGTTCTTTCGAGTTCTCAAGATTGACAGGTCAGAACCATCTGATCTCAACATCAGTGAAGACCCTGTAGTTTACACCCCATTGGAAGTCAAGAATTTACTTCAACGTATAAGTGAGGGCAATCGTTCCACTGGTGGACTCATTTTTGTGGCTGAAGTCTTTGGAATTGCAGGTTCTTTATTTCCCTTGTATTGAATAACATATCTATATATGGTTTGCAAGATAGATAGGGATTTGCAAACCTATTCATCCTCGTTTTAACATTTCAGGTTGTATACGGTTTTTGGAATCATATTATCTTATTTTAGTGACAAAGCGTCGACAAATAGGAAGTGTTTGTGGACATGCCATTTATAGCATTGAGGAGAGCCAGATGATTACAATTCCACATTCATCTGTTCAGAGTGATATAGCAACATCTAAGAATGAGCTAAGGTGTCTCCTATCTTATTGCCTCTGTCTTGTGCTAATAGACTTTATGTGTGTGTGCGTGTTTGCATGTGTGTAGGTG